GGGCTGGGGATTTGAACCCGCCACCTTAGGTGTACGTGGCTGGCGCCTTAGCCGGTTGAGCTATAGGCGCTGAGCCAACACTTGGTTTTCTTGTCTATCTCTTTTACCACACTTACAATTTTTCTTGATGGTTCTTGGAACACTTTCAGATTTGGGGGGTTTTTTTGGCCATATAGTTCTTTTTGAAAAAAATGAGTTTATTTTTTAAAAATTATAGTAAAGTTTACCATTTTAAACATTTTTAAGTGTATAGTTCATTGCATTAAATCTACCTCCAGGACTTTTTTCATCTTGCAGAACGGAAACTTTGCACTCACTAAACACTTAAGTCTATTCCTTACTGCCTGCAGCCCTGGGCAACCACCATTCTACTTTGTTTTGTATATCTCATCCAAATGGAATCATATAGTATTTATCCTTTTATAACTGACTTATTTTTGCTTGGTGCCTATAGCTCAGCAGCTAGGGCACCAGCTACATACACCAGAGCTGGTAGGTTCAAACCGAGCGCTGGGCCTGCCAAACAACAATGACAACTACAGCAAAAAATTAGCTGGGCATTGTGGCGGGCGCCTGTAGTCCCAGCTACTTGGGAGGCTGAGGCAGAATTGCTTAAGCCCAAGAGTTTGAGGTTGCTGTGAGCTGTGATGTTACAGTACTCTAACTAGGGCAAAATAGTGAGAGTCTGTCTCAAAGAAAAAAAAATAACTGGCTTATTTCACTTAGCAAATAGTGTCCTCAAGGTTCACCCATGTTGTAGCTGGTATTAGAAGTCCCTTTTATGGGCTGGGCACAGTGGCTCGTGCCTGTAATCCTAGCACTCTGGGAGGCTGAGGCGGGTGGATTGCCTGAGCTCCCAGATTTGAGATCAGCCTGAGCCAAAGTAAGACCTCATCTCTAAAACTAGCCGGGCACTATGGCAGGCACCTATAATCCCAGCTCCTCTGTCAGCTAAGGCTTGAGCCGAAGGGTTTGAGGTTGCTGTGAACTATGACAGTACGGCACTCTACCAGGGGTGACAAAGTGAGACTCTTGTCTCCAAAAAAAAAAAAAAAAAGAGAGAGAGAGAAGTTCCTTTTTAAGGCAGAACAGTGTTCCATTGTATGAGGGCACTCTGGTGATGGTGGTTCTTCTGTTTCTCTCTGTTTTCACCCCTCCTTGCAGCTTCTGCCCTCTCTACAGTATCCAGCACAGATTTTGGCACTTTGATATGGTTCAGTTGAATGTGGACTGTTGAATGAATATGTTACCATGGTGATGGTATGGTGATATGATGGGTACTGTTGGGAGACCTGGGGTTTTAATCAAACCTCTTCATTGATTTTCTCTGTGATTTTGGGTAAATATATTATTTGCTCATCTCATGTGTATAAGTGCAGGTACCAGCCACCTCATCAAACTTTTGAGATAGTTAAATAAGATATAGCAGTTCTTATTATCAGAGCTCCCAAGGTACAAGGTTCCTCCATGGGAGCAAACCTCATCACAGTGTGAAACTACTCACTAATGAATTAATCTTGTATAGAATTTGGCCTTGCTCCAATATTTGAGCTTCCTGCCCTAGCCTGTCTCATCTGTGGCTTTTTAGAATGTGTCCCTTTTGGTTCTTGGATAATAACTGACAGTAGAATATTAATGCCTGTAAATTGATTTCAAGGTGAAATTGTATAACTTTCACACTTGCTTGAGTCTGTGGAGCAAAGGATAAATAGGGATTTGGAGGTTAGATAAGATAATCAGAAATGTTATCTAGATGAAAACCAAGCAGACCTCTCAAAAATAATAACTTAAATTTCAAAGAATATGGAGGTTCTTGGGAAAATTGATGAAATCTTGAAATATTTTGGCAGAAGTGATCTTCTGTGTGATGATGTTGTGCCCATCAGATAGAATCTGTCACTGTGCTGTCATACAAATTTTCAGAAGAAGCCCTCCCCCCAGCCCAACAGCTGATCAGGTAGTTGCAGTTACAAACTGAATTTAAAAAATATATAAGCCAAAAAGAGTAAGTGAAACTTTCAGTTTTCTTTGTTATTTACAATGAAATTTTTGAGCCTATTATAAGTGAGTTGAGGATTCTTCTGTATGAATATTTTCTGAAATGTATGTAATGCTTAACAAATATGAAATTGTAGCAATAACTATAAACATTGAGCATTTTATGAAACTACGCCTTTATTGGTAGTTTCTTTTCTAAACTTAACAGCTATTGGGGCTTCAGGCTTATCCCATAGGTATTACCTTTGGAAACCAGAATAGTCAAACATCTTACTTAAGCAGGCTCAACAGCTTCGGGTGGCTGTCTAAAAACGATCTGATGTAGATTCATTTAGTTTATATAAAATTCATTTTATTTAGTTATGTTGTATTTAGGTTTCTAAAAACCTAGCAGAATGTCAGTAAAATTAATTGTGTACTATAAGAAATCTGAAAATTGTATTTCAAATATTTTTAAAATTTATATATGAGAATAAACTTGATTCACTTTTTAAAAAGGAGCTATGTATACTTTGGCATTGTATTCAGAACAGACTGCCCAGAAGCTGCTAAGTAGTAGTTCTTTGTTTCTGTCTAAAGGGAAAATTGCATTTTGATCTCTTTTCCCTTTTCTCCTTCCCTCTCATATCTCTCCATCATGTCTAGCTGTATCTGTAAATTCACCTGCAGCATCTAAAGGTCAGAGGTGATTTCAGCTAATTGTCCACTATTTCTTCTTAGATGCTCACTTCACTCTTGAGCCACTGGACTTGATTATCCAGCACCTATTTGGAGCACTTTCAGTGTTTCAGTGAGCACTAGCAACTCACTTGTGTTAAAGTAGTCCTTTCAACTGGAAATTTCTGTTAGAAGTTCTTTCTTAGCACTAAGCTGCAAGTTTTTCTGTTTTTATACATTTTATGTGATACAGATTGGTTCTGATCCTTCAGTCTGACAGCGTGGGTCACTCAGGTTAATCTTGTCTTTCCTGCCAAAATAACAGTCTCCAAATCTTAAAAGGGTATAAAAACCTCAAAGTTTTATTTTTTTATTCATACTTCATGATTATCCACATTCCCGTTGTGGGCTCAGAATGGGGTTTTTCTCATCATACTCACTAAGGGACCCAGGCTGGCAAACGAGAAACTATCTCAGCTGTGACAGAGGAAGAGAAAGCTTTAGAAGGTCTTGCACAGCAATGATAACTATTCTGGCCCAGAAACGACACGGGTCACTTCTACTTGTAACTCATTGACCAAAAGTAGGTAAAAGACTAACATAACCACATGGTATAGGGGGAGGAGGTAGGAGATACAAGTGAGGTTTTACTCTGTGCCCAGAATGGAGGGGAGCTAGAATGCTTGGTGAATGACAATAATAACTATCACACGGTCTTACGAGAATTTGGAGATCTCTTATATCTTTGTATTCCTTTCTTGCGTAGTATAAAAATTTCCAATATTTTAATTCAGTGTAATGTGACTTTCCAGTTCCCTGAGTCCATGAGACCCTTCCTCCCTCCCTGTTCTTGCTCTGTCACCTGGGCTAGGGTGCACTGGCATCATCATAGCTCACTGCAACCTCAAATTCCAAGGTATGGTGCGGCGCCTGTGGCTCAAAGGAGTAGGGCGCCAGCCCCATTTACCAGAGGTGGCGGGTTCAAGTCCGGCCTGGCCAAAAAACTGCAAAAAAAAAAAAAATTCCAGGGTTTGAATTTCTTTTCCCCAGTAGCTAGGACTACAGGCACATGACACCACATCTGGCTAATTTGTAAACTTTTTGTAGAGACAGGATCTTGCTATGTTGTCTAGTCTTAAAATCCTGGGCTCGAGTGATCCTCTGCCTTTGCCTCCCAAGTAGCTGGATCTACAAGCACACACTACCACCTGTTTTTCAATATTGTTCCTGAATGGTATTGTCCAGAAAGGAACAGAGTATGGAATCTGGCCAGGGTAGCCAGAGGACACTTTTTATTTTTTTGGCAGTCTAAAGTCAGATGATAATAAACCTGACAGTGTTCAGATTAGTCCAGGTAACTATCTTTTTTATAAGTGTGGATTTAAATTGTTCTTTCATGGTTTAAGGTGAAATTGGAATACAGCTATAGATAGTAGAGTATAGAAATTGAAGTTTTAAGACTTAGACTCAAGTCCTGACTTTCAGGAGCTGTGTTACACAAGGCAAATTGTTTCATTGTCCCAAGCTTGCTTTCTGATAGCTATAACTTAACAGTATTGGTGAGAATATAAGCTGTTTGTTTGTAGAGTTTATGTAAAGTAAGATACTAAGTATCTTACAATGCTAAGAAGCATTGTTTTGTTGTGCCTGGGTTTATCACAGTTCATTAGGGACTCATGTAAGTGTGTAAGTTCCTGTGTGAACACATATACACACTGCTGTCCTTGTGGGTGTAGATCATCACGTGATTTTTTATACTATTTTTTAAAATGGTTAAACTGATGTGCTGCCTCTCATTTGCAGGGAGGGTTCTGTCACAGTCTACTCCTGGAACTCCATCAAAGACCATAACAATATCTGAAAGTGGTGTTATTGGATCAACTTTAAATTCTACAACACAGACACCAAATAAAATAGCCATCTCACCTTTGAAATCACCAAATAAGGTAAAAAAAAAAAAATTAGCCACAAATACCAAATATTGTGGTTGATGCCTTTGTTTTCTTACTAGTCACTTCAGATACTTTAGTTTTCATATTTTCCTAAGCAAGTGATAAACATACAGTGAATACTGGATTAATTTAATAATCAAGGATGTTTGAGAGATGAAAAACATAGTTTAAATATGTAATAACATCATAATCATTTTGCTTGTTTCCATGGCCCATATGAACGTGGGTACAACCAAAATCTTTTGAATAAAGTAATTATGTGTTTATTTCCTCTTCAGTTACTATTTTGACAAAATTATTATCTTTGGGGAGGGCACATATATAGTAACTATATAAATATAACATCTTAAATGTAATTTAATTTTAATTTTTCTTTTTTTAGAGACAGAACCTCACTTTGTCACCTTCTGTAGAGTGCTGGGGTGTCATATCTCATAGCAACCTCAAACTCTTGGGCTTAAGTCCAGTAACTGGGACTACAGGAGACCACCAGAACGCCCGGCTGTTTTTTTTTTGTTGTAGTTGTCATTGTTGTTTAACAGTCCTGGGCTGGGTTTGAACCTGCCAGCTCTGGTATATGTGGCTGGCACCCTAACTACTGAGCTATGGGCGTCAAGCCATAACTTTTTTTTTAATGGAGACCTGAGTTTTTGCTGGGTAATTGGACCCAGAGCACCAGAAATTGTCATCAGATGCTGCTTATCAGTGTTTTTTATGCTCAAGTACATGTCTTTGAAAGCATTCAAAAGCTTTTTATACTTTGTTTTCATTTTAAGGTGTCTTAAGTACCTATCATTTTATTCTCAGGTAAAGTAAGTAGTCTAACTCACTTTCCTAGAACATGGAGATGTCGTTATACAAGCATAACATTTTCAGAAAAGATACGTTTTAGACATAATATTTAGACATTATTTAGGTGGAAAGCCAAACATCATTATTCTGTAAGGTGCCACCTGTGTAACTCTGGAAACCTTTGCCCTTTGTACCTTGATTAGTTGCTGTTCATAAATAGAACAAACATTAAACATTTGCCTTACATTTTTAAAAAGCCCAGCTATTGGATCTTGTTGTAATGAGGCTTGAATGAAATGTATAAATATATTGTCACTTATCGTTCATTAAAATGGGATTCTACCTGCATAATAATATAGTAATTTTTTTCCTAAATGGGATGAATTCTGCAGATATGTGAGAGGTTCCTGTGTCATGCATGGTGACAGACAAGGGGGAGAAAACATGAATAAGATAAGGTTTTTAATTTTAAGGCCTTCAAGTAGGAGTTTAGACTGAAACATTAAAAATTGCCCCACAGAATCCTAATGGTCATGAGTGGATTGATGAGGTCTGCTGTGTGTGAGGGAAGGTCTTATCGAAAGGTGAGCTGGACTTAGCTGTGGATGAGCAGAAGGGCTTTCTGGATTGAGCTGATACTTCACACAAAGGTGTGACATTGTTTTGGCAGTATGTGCTCCCAGTGTGTGCTTAGGAACTTGCTAAGGTTCGATGGAAGGACTCATCTTCAGGGGAGTTTGGCTTTTATTATTCTTTTTTTTTGAGAGAGAGAGAGAATCTTTGTCACAAACTTAGACTCTTGAACTCAGAGATCTTGCCTCAGCCTCCCGAGTAGCTGGGACTTTAGGTGCCCACCACAATGCCCAGCTATTTTTAGAGACAGGGTCTCATTCTTATTCAGGCTAGTCTGGAACCCCTGAGCTCAGGCAATCCATCCGCCGTGGCCTTGGCCTCCCAGAGTGCTGGGATTACAGGCATGAGGCTTTTATTATTTTTAAAGACTTTCTGTGACTTCGCATTGTATTGAGGGCAGTAACCACTGCCCTTGTCTGCACATTGGGATTACCTGGAGAGTTTTAATAAATACTGATGCCTGGTTCTCATCCCCAGAGTTCTGTTTTAATCTGTCTGGAATTTGGCCTGGTATCAGGACTTTTTTTTTTGCAGTTTTTGGCCAGGGCCGGGTTTGAACCCGCCACCTCTGGTATATGGCACCAATGCTCCACTCCTTTGAGCCACAGGCGCCACCTGGTATCAGGACTTTTTAAAGCTCTTTAATCAGCCTAGATAGAGAGCCACTGCTCTAAATAAGAGGAGATTTGCATTTTTAAAGAGATGACTCTGTGGCATTGTGAAAGAGAGTTTGAAGTTGAGCCTGGGCTGTGGGAGAAACCAGGTAGGGTAGTGATTCTCAATTTCAGCTGCATTTTCGAAGCACCTGGGAACCGCTTGAAAAAACCAACAGCTGGCTATGTGCCCACAGCTCAATGGCTAGGGCGCTGGTCACATATGCCTGGGTTGGTGGGTTCAAATCCAGCCCCTGGCCTGCTAAACAATG